TTTCTCCTGCTTCGCAGGTCTTCTTCGGCTACATCGACGACAAAACAGCAGACCTGGAGAGAGAAGTGTACCTGGAGAGAGAAAAAACAGAACAAACCTGGAGAGAAAACCTTTTATACCTGGAGAGAGAGAGAAAACAGCTGACCTGGAGAGAGAAGTGTATATACCTGGAGAGAAAATTTTATATACCTGGAGAAAGACAGCAAAACAGCAGACCTNNGAGAGAGAGAAGTGTACCTGGAGAGAGAGAAAAAACAAAACTGACCTGCAGAGAAAACTTTACCTGGAGAGAAAAAGAAAAACAGCAGACCTGGAGAGACGGTGTAGCTGTGGACGGCGAAAAAAAACTGTTGAAAGTGGGGCCCTTTTTCTGGGCCTGCAGGCTTCGGGCTGCATCTTCTTGTGTATAAGAATTATAGAAAGCTGCACAACAGCAGACACACAGACGATGGGACACACACACGAGATCTGGAAACAGCCAAATAATTATGCCGGTGTGTTTTCGGTTTCAATGACCAGAACAAGTATACAGGAATATATACGGAAGGAATCTGGAATCATCACTGCAAACAGGCAACGAATCCAAGAAGATCACGAGCATTACCTTGTCTTTTGTTGGATCAGTGCAAACAGGCAGCAGAAATCCGGAAAGATTCAGAGAATTACCTTTTCCTGTTAGATCAGTGCAAACACTTCACTCAGGGCACTTGCACAGAGCTGTGCACATGTTTCGAAACATGGGAAGACCGAAGGGGGGATACCTTTTCCTCTTTTGTTTGTGTCACAAAATCAGATGCAAACCCACTACAAACTTCGACCAAACTTCGGCCGATGAGGCTGGAAACTTCGACTGGCCCGCCCGGGAGTGCGCCGAAGTTTGGTCGAAATTTCGATCAAACTTCGGCGCAACCGTTCGCTGCTTGAAACCCAGGATTTTCACTATTTCGTGAAAATTTCAACCCAAGAAAACGAAGAAATCTGTACAGATTTCTTCCCTTCAAAATCGTAGAATTTTAACTATTTCCGAGCTAAGAATTTTAACTATTTCGTGAAAACGAAGACAAGGAATCTGTACAGATTTCTTCGTTTGTGAGATTATTACGATTTTCCACTTTTCTAGCTATTTGGATCTATTGGGTAAGGGAACTTGGGAAATATTGCACA